AGACAATATCCACTGCTCTTCCATCATATGTCAGGCTGGTCATTTCGTTATAGAAGCTTATCAGGTTGGTCAGGCATGACCACCCCCTTGTGAATCCATGCTCACTACTCCTGATGATTTTCTTCTCCTTCATGTGCCTGAAAATGGTTTCCAGGATTAGCTGTTTCATCACCTTTCCAGGGAATGAGGTGAGGGTGACTGGCTTGTAGTTATGGGGTGAACATTTTTTCCTAATATCTAACATAAACCTCCCGTGGTGCAACTTGAGGCCATTTCTTCTTGTCCTATCACTTGCTGCTTGGGAGAAGAGACCAATCATTACCTTGCTACAACCTGCTGTGAGGTAATTGTAGAGAGTGATAAGGTCTCCCCGAGCCTCCTTTTCCCTAGGCTAAATAACCCCAGTTCCCTCAGCTACTTCTCATAAAACTTGTTCTCTAGACCCTTCACCAGCTTCCTTGCCATTCTTTGGACATGATCCAGCATCTCAAAGTCCTTCTTTTAGGGAGGGGCCCAAAACTGAACACAGTATTTGAGATGTGGCCTCACCAGAGAAAAGTATGGGGGACAGTCACTTCCCTAGTCCTGCTGGCCACACAATTTCTGATACAAGTCAGGAGGCTGTTGGCCTTCTTGGCCACCTGAGCACACTGCTGGCTCATGTTTAGCTGGCTATCAACCAATACCCCGGGTCCCTTTCCACCAGACAGCTTTCCCATGCACTCTTCCCCCAGCCTGTAGTGTTGCATGGGGTTGTTGTGACTCAAGTGCAGGTCCTGGCACTTGGCCTTATTGAACCTCATACTGTTGGCTTCAGCCCACCATTCCAGCATATTCAGGTGTCTCTGCAGACCCCTCCTACCCTTGAGCAGGTCAGCATTCCTGCCTAACTTGGTGTTGTCTGCAAGCTTACTGAGGGTGCACTTGATTCCTGGGGATGGTTTTACCCAGCTGGGCGGCTGAGCTCTACCACAACTGCTCTCTCACTCACCCTTCTCAGAGCAAATGGGGGAGAAAATATGATGTAAAGGGCTCAAGAGTTGAGATAAAGACTGGGAAATCGCTCAACAATTATTATCATGGGCAAAACAGACTCAGCACGGGGAGATTAATATAATCTATTACCTATCACTAACAGATTAGAGCAGTGAGAAACTCAAAACAAGCTAAGAACATCTTCCCCCCATCCACCCTCTTCTACATCCTCCCCTGAGTGGTGCAGGGAAATGGAGAATGAGGGCTGAGGTCAGTCCTTGATGCTTTGTCTCTGCCGCCCCTCACGGTCCCTCTCTGCCCCTGCTCCCTGTGGGGGCCCTCCCACAGGATACCGTCCTTCCTGAACTGAGCCTGCGGGGGCTGCCCACAGGCAGCAGCTCTTCAAGAACTGCTCCCACACAGCTCTGTACCACAGGGTCCATCCCCCAGGACCAAACTGCTCCAGCACGGGTACCCCATGGGTGGCAGCTCGCCCCAGGCCCCTGCTCCTGCATGGGCTCCTCTCCATGGGCTGCAGCTCTGGCCCAGGGCCTGCTCCTGCGGGGGCTCTCCATGGGCCGCAGCCTCCTCCAGGCCACAGCCACCTGCTCCACTGGGGGCTCCTCCACGGGCTGCAGCGTGGAGATCTGCTCCATGTGGGACCCATGGGCTGCAGGGGGACAGCCTGCTCCACCAGGGGCCTCTCCACGGGCCGCAGGGGAACTGCTGCTGTGAGCCTGGAGCACCTCCTGCTGCACTGACCTTGGGGTCTGCAAGGCTGTTTCTCACTTCTCTCTCTCCCAGCTGCTGTTGTGCAGCAGTTTTGTTTTTTTCTTTTTCTTTTTCCCTTCCTTAAATCTGCTCTCACAGAGGCACAACCTTGCTCACTGGCTCAAATCTGGCCATCAGCAGGTCCCTTTTGGAGCTGGCTGAACACAGGACAGCTTCTGGAGTCTTCTAACAGAGGCCATCCCTGCAACCCCCTCTGCTATCAAAACCTTGCCACATAAACCCAATGCAATCCCCTTGTCCAGATCATTGATAAATACATTAAACAAAACTGGTCCCAGTACTGAGCCCTGGGGGACACTACACACCTCTTCATGGCCACAGAGTGAATACTGGGTTTGGGCAGCAACATTCCTGTTTTTACTTGTCAAGATGAGATTTTCATGTGATCTCAGTATCTATCAGATCTTTGGTCCTGCACCTGGGACGGGGAAACCCTGGCTGCACGTACAGACTGGGCGATGAGACGCTGGAGAGCAGCCTAGAAGAGAGGGATCTGGGGGTCGTGGTAGACAGCAAGCTGAATATGAGCCAGCAGTGTGCCCTGGCAGCCAGGAGGGCCAACCGTGTCCTGGGGTGCATCAAGCACGGCATTGCTAGTAGGTCAAGGGAGGTGATTGTCCCGCTCTACTCTGCGCTGGTGTGGCCCCACCTCGAGTACTGTGTGCAGTTCTGGGCACCACAGTATAAAAAGGACATGAAACTGTTGGAGAGTGTCCAGAGGAGGGCTACGAAGATGGTGAAAGGCCTGGAGGGGAAGACGTACGAGGAACGGCTGAGGGCACTGGGCCTGTTCAGCCTGGAGAAGAGGAGGCTGAGGGGAGACCTCATCGCAGTCTACAACTTCCTCGTAAGGGGGTGTCGAGAGGCAGGAGACCTTTTCTCCATTAACACCAGCGACAGGACCCGCGGGAACGGGGTTAAGCTGAGGCAGGGGAAATTTAGGCTTGACATAAGGAGGTGGTTCTTCACAGAGAGGGTGGTTGCACACTGGAACAGGCTCCCCAGGGAAGTGGTCACTGCACCGAGCCTGTCTGAATTTAAGAAGAGATTGGACTGTGCACTTAGTCACATGGTCTGAACTTTTGGGTAGACCTGTGCGGTGTCAAGAGTTGGACTTGATCCTTAAGGGTCCCTTCCAACTCAGGATATTCTATGATTCTATGATTCTATGTTTGTGAATATGTCTTTCATGAACTGGTTACCAAAGCAAAAGGTGCCATGAGCAGTGGCAAGAATGAAAGCTGGGACCTTCTCTAGAAGAATCCACCCAAATCAGTCATCCTAGGTTGAAAAGATAATTTTAGGGGGAAAAAATAGGCAGTTCATCTGACATTCTTCAGTGTAAGAGGAATTCTTCAGAGTCTACTGACTGTATTGGTTAGGTCGCTGCAGATGTGGAGTGGCCAAAGGGTGTTGAGCGCCTGGGTAGCAGCTGACAAAATGTGTGACAATTATTAGATGAGTAAAGACAGTCCTCTGTTTTAGGTGGATAAAGAATTGGTTGGCTGGTCACAGCCAAAGGGTTGTGTTCTATGTCTGGGTGGAGGCCGGTCACAAGTCATGTCCCTCAAGGGTCGGTCTTGGGTCCGGTGCTCTTTAACATCTTTATCAATGACACAGACGGTGGAATTCTACGATTGTATGAATCGAGTGCACCCTCAGCAAGTTTGCATATGACACCAAGCTGATGGTGCAGTCAATGCAACAGAGGGAAAAGATGCCATCCAGAGGGACCTGGACAGGCTGGAGAAGTGGGCCCATGATAACCTAATGTGGTTCAACTTGAGGTGTTGCACTGGGGCTGGGGCAATCCCAGGTATTTATATAGACTGGAAGAAGAAGAACTTAAGAGCAGCCCTGCAAAGAAGGACTTGGGGGTCCTGATGAATGAGAAGCTGGACATGAGCCAGCAGTGTGCGTTTGCAGCCTGGAAGGACAACTGTGTCCTGGGCTGCATCAAAAAAGGGGTGGCCAGCAGGGAGAGGGAGGTGATTATCCCCCTCTACTCTTGTGAGACCCCACCTGGGGCCCCCAGCATAAGAAGGATGTGGAGCTCTTGGAATGGGTCCAGAGGAGGGCCACTAAGACGATCAGAGGGCTGGAGCACCTCTCTTATGCAGAAAGGTTGAGGAAATTGTTTAGCTTGGAGAAAAGAAGGCTCCAGGGAGACCTCATTGCAGCCTTCCAGCATTTGAAGGGAGGATATAAACAGGAGGGGGAACGTCTGTTTACATGTGTTGATAGTGATAGGACAAGGGGGAATGGTTTTAAACTAAGACGGGAGATTTAGGTTGGAAATTAGGAAAGCTTTTCACTCAGAGGGTGGTGAGGTACTGGAACAGGTTGCCCAGGGAGGTTGTGGATGCCCCATCCCTGGAGGCATTCAAGGCCAGGGTGGATGCGACTTTGGGCAGCCTGCTCTAGTGGTTGGCAAACCTGCCCAGAGCAGGGGGGTTGAAACTAGATGATCTTTAAGGTCCTTTTCAACCCAGGCCATTCTGTGATTCTATGATCTTAAATTTTATCTATTCCACTGGCTATTTCTCTCTAGTGAAGACAGAGTAATAAGAAACTTTTCTACCCAATTATTTTCCATTTCCCTCTGTCATCTGTTGGCTTTACATGTTATCTTTTAAGTGTCTCCTTACATAGAGGACATCAAGACTAATTTTTCTTCTCACTGCAAGCTTGTGTTCTCTGCCTTCCTGGGATGTGAGGTGACAGTGACACACATTCTGCTCCCACCCCTCTCAAGGACACCCCATCACTTGTCTGCTGTGGTTTTACTAGTTCTGATGTATTTTCTGTTCCATCCCTTCTTTCCTACATTCTAACATCTGTTGTGTTTTCTCATCACTGCTGTTTGTGGAGCCATTGTGCTCATGCACAGCTGGGAATAGCTCAATGAGCATATAAAGTTCTCCCTTCAGGTATGCTGTAAATGTGTAGGTATCATAAATCTTCCATGCTTGACTCAAAAGGCCAAGTGGTGGGACAGCCAGCTGCAGCAGTACTTTTCATTGTACCTTTTTTGCTGGAGCTGGATGTTATCTACTCTTCTGGTCTCCCTGCAGTGCTCTGATATGGTAGTGCCTCTCTCACTGGTGTTTGTCCCAGCTCACGGGAGCAAGTGAGCAAGGTGAAGAGGAAAATTCACCCAAGATAATCTCCTGAAATGGATCTGCAAGATTTGCAGGAAGCACTTGTTGATACTTCTTCCTGTCTTGTTGCAGGCGAAGGATAGTGATGATGATGATGAAGTCACTGTTAGTGTGGACCGGGACCGCTTCATGGATGAGTTCTTTGAACAGGTGAGTTTTGTTTTTCCAGTGCAGCTCTGACACCAGTTCAAAACTTCCTGTAAATGCTGGAGCAGACTGTGTGTCAATGATATGGGTTCCCATGGCAGGCAGGTAGCAGTTGAGTGAGGGTATGGGTGTTCTGCCTTGGCTGATGCCTCTCAGCTGGTGCTCAGGCTCTGGGTTCTCAGGGCTTACACTGAGAGCAGTGACTAGTGGGAGCCAGGCTTCCATGCAGGCCTGAGGCTGTTTTGTTGTGTTGTACCTAACCCAAGGGCCGCTTTGCTGCTCCACCTGCTCCTGTAGAAACCAACAGGGCAGCTGAGGCAATTAACCACCAAGTGGTAGTGTGGGAGCCTGTGGACACAGGCTGCATTGTAGGAGGCTTTCTTGTTGCAGTGTACACGCCTCTAGACTGCCATGAAATCAAATAGTTTCTAAAATCTCTCCAGAAAGCACCTCTGCAGAGTAAAAATTGCTGCATGGGATTGATGTAATTTTGTGCCTCTCATTACCAAACATGAGGTTGCTTACTGGCATGTGGGTGGCTGTAAGATATGCATGCGGATTTTTAGCATACCTTTAGTATGACATGTGTGTAGGGGGTGTAAAAATGTATCTGTGCAGGCAATGGAGTGTGGAATGAAAAATATGACATACAGATGGATGAAGATGAGCAAAGTGGTGGTATGAGTCAAAGAAAAAGATGGAGTTGGAGTGTGTGCAGATTGGCAGGCAGAAGGCACAAGTACAGGTTCTCAAGTCTCCATGATGCTGGCATGTTTTCTTATAGTGCAGGGAAAATGCCAGTACAGAGAGGCACAGTATCATTTGGCTTCCCTACTATTTGGGGTGAGGCTCAAAACAGACTTCTCAGCCCCTGGAGCTGGGTGACTGAGCTGGGAAGAATCCTGGCTTACGTAACTTGAACAACACACTCCATGCTGGAAATGCTGAGTCTGGAAATTCATAGATCTGATGCTCATTTGGATATACCCTACAAGTTTCTTAGCGTATGACAAAGCATATGGGAAACACAGTCTATATTACCTTGATCTGACTGCAAAGCTGGTTGCTGTGATATGGAAAGTTGTCTGATTTCACATCAGTCCTACAGTTTAAGAATCCAGATGGAAAATATTTGTACAGGAGGATGTTCACTGTGGTTCAGCCATACCATGGTTGTTTTTGGATAGGGTTTAATAATCATGCCCCTTTCCAAAAGTCCAGGCCTCTCACAGGATACCTATCTTGTTCTTTTCTGTCTCCACAGGTAGAAGAAATTCGAGGATTCATTGATAAAATCTCAGAGAACGTGGAGGAAGTGAAGAGGAAGCACAGTGCCATTCTTGCTTCGCCTAACCCTGATGAGAGTGAGTGAGCTGGGATCTGCTTGTGTCTCTGCAGGGCTTGGGCCTGTGTGTGGCTGCTCTGTGCGCTGCTGGTTGTGCAGTAGATAGATACAGGCAGAAATCCTCTTGTCTCTCTTGGCCTCTCCCAGAGGCATAACCTTGCTTATTGGCTCAGCTTTGGTTGACAGTGGGTCCCTTTTGGAGCTGGCTAGACACAGGGCAGCTTCTGGACTCTTCTCACAGAAGCCACCCCAGCAGCTCCCCCACTACCAAAACATTGCCACACAAACCCAATACATGAGGGAGGAATGGGGCCTATGTGGAAGGGAGATGGAAGGACTGCTGATGGCTTTCTGACCTTGAGAGAGAAAGTGAGGTTTCAGAGTGGCTGGTGGAGACTTCCTGAAGGACAGGGCAGCATAGAGGCTGAAAATAGCAAATGACAATTTTGTATCCAGGTCGTTGTTTTCTTACTCTGCCCAGACAAAGTGCTTGTTCTGCATTCCCTTCTGTATCAGTTACACGTAACTGCAGGCAGTGCTGGACCTCTGGGCTGTCACAACTTCAGTGGAAACTGCAGGAGGATCTCTGTACAGCATTATTGTGCCTTGGTATTGCAGAAAATTCAGTATATAATGCCAAAAGCAATTTGGGCAACAAATGAGAACTTCTACCTTGTTAAGTAATCAGTTTTCTGTAATACTTTGGTGCATCGAGAAGGTACAGGTGGAACCTGTGTCTTAAATAGCTGTACTTAGGCAAACATGACCTCAGTGCTATACTGTATGTGCTCTACTGTTGCAGAAGACTCAGGTGGCCAGGACTCTGCCTGAGACCTGGATGTGCCCACCTGCCCTGAGCTGGGTTGGAGGTTCTGGGCTTGAGCCTTGTGTCTGTAGGGCTCATCTCTTCCCTCCTGCTGATCTCTCTTCTAGCTGCACAGGCTGTTCTCAGATCCACGTGCCACTGCTGCCTGTGCTTATTTTGGTGCCCTGTGGGTGGGCATCTGTCTCACTTTCCCATCGTTCCTGTGAGGTGGCAGCCCACCCGCCTGCATCTCCAGCATGCTTATGCCCAGGGCAGAGTGGTTGTGGGGGGATGGGGAACATCTCCCAGCTCAGCAGCTCTGCGCTGCATGGCCAGTGGTTCTGCAGCTTCATGTCCAGGCTTGGGATGTGCTTGGAGAGGCCCTTGGAGTGGCCAAGGGGCTGTATTCCTCATTGGAGAGGGGCTGTTCTCCTGATTTGAATCAATTCCTGCTAAATCTGTTCCTAAAATCCTTCTCAGTGGGCTGCTGCATCTGTTGCTACTCCTGGTGCTTGAAGAAGCAGGCTGTTGCTGCTTTGGTCCTTTGTCTGGGCTGGTTCCCAGACGAGGTGGCTTTGAACAGTAAGCCACCAAATTGAGAGGAATTAAATTATGTTTTTCTGGAGCAGTCAGGATGGACTTCTCTGCTATTCATCTTTGTGCACAGCTTTCCTCCTTGCTTCCATGCTTGTGATTTCCTCAAGTGCTTTGTTATATAATAGATGCTGTTTGGTGAATGAATCACCTCCGGGAACATAAATCTTCAAATCTGAAGGTCTTTCAGCCTGTCAGCTCCGCAAACTTCAGAAGACCTGATAAATATTTCAAACCTCGAAGCAGGTCCATTACTGATCTGCAGCAAGAACAGAAGGGGAGGTTCAGTTGCACGTATATTTACCCCCTGTTTTTATAGATTTAAGCTATGTGAACTCGAGGTGGTAGCTTCAGACACCAGGGTACAGTTCCCACATGACTTGGTTCAGATTCTGTCTGCTGAAGGAGATGCAAGTTATTTGGCCTCTAATTTCTAACAGAACTACTTCTGGCAGAGGGATGTACCAGGTGGTCAAGGAGATTAATTGTAGTTGTTCACCTCTGTCCAACATGACGAAGCAAAGCTATCCAGTGCTAAAAAGGCAATTCTGGATTGTCTTGATGTCTAGGCTCTGGCTAGATTTCTCCGAACAGGCTCTGTGCTTTCACTGTCAGTATAACCTTGGGGCTCACCAGGGCTTTTTGCAACCAGGTCCTTTTGCAACATGTCACAGCTGAAAGCCTGCTTTGTGTGGAGGAGATGCTGCTGGGGCATTGCCCGAAGGAAGGAAGGCTACTGACTGTGGTTGGTTTTTGCTGGAGCTGCTCTCCCCTGGTGCTGCTTTCTGTGGCCCCTTAACTTCTGCCTCCACTGTGCAGTCATTTTTCTGGGGCATGTGTTCCTGCTGGTGCCTGGTTCAGCCTGGGCAGAGGGGAGGTTTCCCTGAAGACCCTGAGCTGCAGTTGTGCTGTGTTATACAACAGGTTGGAGGCTTCAGGCTCGTGTGATGCTCCTTTGGGAAAAGAAGTGTGAGAGGAAAAAAGGCACGGATTTCTGTGAAAAGCTTGGTTTTGTTCTCCTGTCCTCAGAGCTGTCCTTACTCCTCTGCCCTCTGTGCTGCTGCTTTTCCTGGCTTCCCTGGGGCTGGACATCAGAGCTACTGCAGACTTCATCAGTCCTTGGAGGTGGAGGCGGAGCACCTGCAAAACAGGCACAGAACAAGGGACCTGTCAAAGGATGTCTGGGCACATTCTGTGCCCAGAAAGCAAATTGATGTGTCCCTGCTGCTCATTGTGCTGCCCTCACCCCTGTTCTGCCACCTCGCAGGTTCCTCCCCTGCCCTGGCGGTGCATGGTGTTTGGCATGGGAAGGGCTGTGGTGTTTGTGCTTGGTGACATAAAAGGGCATGGTAAAGGCAGCTTCAGCTCCTGAACCTGCAGTGGGGTTGGTGAGGTGTGGAGTGGATCTGATGGACATGAAGGGACCCAGAGGATTGGACAGCATCTACTGGTGCAGGACTGGGGAAGAAGATGGGGCACTAATATAGCCAGTAGCTGACAGGTTCCCCCCTCCAGAAGAGGGATTCTTCAGCCACATGCTGTTAAGCTCTGTGTGGGGGGGGCTCTTCACCACAGGGTGCTGGTGGGAGTTGTCAGGTTTGGGGTGAGCCTGGGCAGGCTCCTGGAAGACAAACCACCATGGTGTGGGGAGCCCAAGCCAAAACTGGCCAGGACTATGGTGAGGTATTTTCTGTGTGCGCTCACTCTTCTCTCTTTTAGCATATGCTTTTGGCTGATGTGAAAGAGGCCTCCCCCTGCCCCGCCCTGTGCAGAGTGCTCGCCTGTGGAGAGCCAGGTGCAGCCCTTCTGTGGAGCAGGGCAGGGCTCAGCAGCAGAGCTGCTCTCTCATCAAAGTCCTCATTTAACTGAACCCTGCTCATCTGGGGAGGGGGTGTGGGGAGCCCCATCTTCCTCTGTAGCACCCTCTCTTGCTTTCAGTGCAGTGGACATGGGGCCATGGTGTCTGCTGCTCATGTGCCACATCCTCCTGCAGCAGGTGAGAGGTGCCAGAGCTGGAAGCTACATCATTTTGCTGTGCTGACTTTGCTGTGTATGGAAAGGACTCAGGCACTGCTGGGGACAGTGTGAGAGGAGGTGCCATCTGCTGCCCTGGTTCTCAGCATCTTGCCTGCCTGTGTCCCCAGCTCCTCTTTCTCCTCTCAGCATGTATGTTAGGGGGAAGGCGGGGATGATGCCATGGGGAGCAGGATCCTGATCCTGCTATCAGGAGGGCAGCAGGTTTGCTCCTGACATCCATCCTGTGGGATGAATGAGTTCCTATATTTCATATCTCATTTCTCATGTTCTATAGATAATTTCCAATATTTTGCACAGCTGCAGGGTTTTTTGCTGTGCATTTCCTGTCAACAGCTTGGCCAAGGGGGAGTGTGCTTTCCAAGCGTCAGGGCTGGGATAGCAAAGGACTTTGGCCCTTCAGTGCTGCACAGGACGACGTGTCAGCCTGGCATCAGTGGCAGTGGAAGGGTGCTGCTGTCCACAGACCTTCGTGTCTGTTTCGGGTTGTGCTGTCAGGGCTGCCTGTCCAGGCAGCTCTGGTGCAGAACCTGGTGCTGGGGTAGGTCAGGCTGTAGTCCCAGTGCCTGCAAAGGGGAAGGCTACTGCATTTTGGAGCAGTGGTGGGTGGGTAAAGTGACTCTTCTGCTGGTAATTGGGCCTGTGTGAATTGCAGGACACAGTATGAAGCCTGAACTGCTTCACTGGAAATGAGAAAATCAGGTAGCTCTGCACACAGGGAGAGCAGGAGTGGTGGTCCCCTCTACAATCCCTGTGTGCTTGGTGCTGATGCATCAGGGGATGGGCCAATGGTTCTGCCCAGAGTAGCAAATCCGGTGTGAAATGGGGAAGCTTGAGAGGTGACTGAAGGCAGGGAGGGGGTGCTCCTTTGCAAGCTGGAGTTGGTCTAGGAGCTCCACAGCAATGTGGACATGGGAGCACAGCTGGTCTGGTAGGGGAAGAGCTGGGCAGAGTGGCACAAAGTGATCCCTGAGACATGTTCCTGCACCTGATCTCACCAATCCTATCTCTAAAAAGCATCAGTGTAGGACAGGGTTCGGTCAAGCCCTCTGTTGGGTGCTCAGGAAGTACCACCAGATACTGTGCTGCTCTCCTGCTAGTCCTGCACAGCACCTGGCCCTGGGGGCTGCTTGCAGGCACCTGTTCAAAGCATGCTGTTCTTTAGGTAGGACATCTGCAGATGTCTTCTGGTCCCTTGGGGAAGCTGGGAAGCTGTATTTCTCCATGCTATGGAGTGGAGGCCAGGAGCTGCTGATGCATTTGGACAATGCTCTCAGAAGTATGGTTTGATTTTTTTCCTCTGGCTCAGAGGAAGCCTCCTTTCCTCTGAAGCAGAAAATCTTTCTGGAAATGCAACTCTGGTCACCTGGTTGCTGCAGAGTGGCTCCAGGGCCTTGCTCTGCCTTGTCTTGGACGTCCTGAGCAGAGCTGTGCTTGTGATGCCCATGGTTATTATAGCACTACTGTAATAACCTGGCAGGAACCTCCTGCAGTTCAGCAAGGAGAAGCACAGAGTCCTGTCCGCGGGGAGGAACAAGCCGAGGCCCCAGGAGAGGCTGGGGCACCCAGCTGGAAAGCATTCTGGC